CTATACTATGGTCTGATGTCAATCCGAAGACGAAGTTCAGAATACTGTTATAGTTTCATATATTGGATTTAAGCGATAGATTCAAGTCATTTATGATAGACTTTTTTGCTGTGATGCTTTGCTATTGCTTTTGGTTTCCATTTCTAGTTTTATTTGTTCGATAGTCCTATAATATATAATATTAAAATGAATAAAGTTCAAATTCTTCAAAATGCTGTTGTTGACATTTGCTATTTTTAGTAATTTTGTCAACGAGTGTAAGCCAATCAGAAGCCTGCGTTTCTATACGAACGCCACTACCAAGAAAACCTATCATCCGTGCAGGCCCTCTATTCTTCGCGCAGCCCGCAACCCAGGGCCTGTTCGCAGGCTAGAACAACATATATGTCTATACTTTTGCACTTTGGTGTTGCTGTGCAAGTGTGGCGACAAGCCGCCTTTTGCCGACACCCCTCTTTGGTGGCTGATTAACAAATTGGCCGCCTGATATTGGGGACTTGTATAGAGACATACTGTATATGTGCATTTCATTAAGAAAATTAAAGTGTATTTGGAAATGATTAATTAACAGTCCTGGCAATTTGAAAGAATTATATTCTCCAGTTTTGAACAACATATATGTCTATACTTTTGCACTCTGGTGTTGCTGTGCAAGTGTGGCGACAAGCCGCCTTTCGCCAGCACCCCTCTTTGGTGGCTGATTAACATTGGCCACCTGATATTGGGGACTTGTATATAGACATATATGTGCATGACTTTAAAAAAATGAAAGTTTTTTGGAATTTATGATTCATATAACCTTGCAATTTGAGGGAATTATATTCTCCAGTTTTGAACAACACTATTGTCTATACTTTTGCACTCTGATGTTGCTATGCAAGTGTGGTGACAAAGCCACCTTTCGCCGGCACCACTCTTTGGTGGCTGATTTGCATGGTGGCTGATTAATTGGGGACTACAGTTATTGACATATATCGATATATGAATAATATAAAAATATTTAAGTGTTTAGAAATTATTAGGTATAAAAACTCATATGAAACATTAACCTAGAAATTTGAAAGAATATTATTCAGTCTAAATCTCAGTGGCAGCGTGTATTAATTTTATTTATTATTTTATATCATACTACTGTATATTGTTTATTGTATATTATACTATATGTGGTTTTGGCATTTCCTTACTCAAATAATAACCATGTATAAGTGTTATGTTAGAGCACACCCAAACCGGGGGCTGAATTAAGGGATATAATAAATGTAGTTCACTCTGCAACATTAATTTCTAATTATATGTTCCTTCTATTTATCTAGGAAAGTTAAGATGTAGACAGCTTCGTGTCAAGCAAAGACCCAAAAGAATTGCCATTTCTTGTAATGGTTGTCTGGCGACCATTGAATGCAATTTCTCAAATCTTTATTGTCGCTGACTTGCTGGTACTTTTTCGAGTTAAGGTTGTAATTGTGGAACTGATGGCATGAACTCACATTCTCTTTTCGAGAGGAGGTTAATTAATGAAATTAGGAATGACATATACTAAGTAATATGAACTGAATAAAATCTGAACTCAGTAGGAGAGGGCAATATTGCTCTTATATTGTATATACAGTAGGTATCGTTTATAACTCATTGCAGTATTTGCATCAGTTTGGTTCGAATGTTGCATCTTTACTCTGAACGGAGTGCGTACAACCATGCATGCATGTATTGTAGGTCAAAATCACTTTGTTTGTTACTACTGTGTATGCTAATTTTAATTTGTTCTATATATTGGTAGAATACATTATTTTCACTGACACAGTTGTGTTGAGATGGCTATATAGTATCTGACTTTATATTATTTCTTTCAGTCATGGCCTTACTCGGAACAATGAATAAAAAGGTACTCAGCTCGCTGAGAAAAAGGAGAATGTTTAAAGATTTGAGTAGTTTTGTACTCGTTGTTTTGAGTAAGGCACTTCTTTTACTCACTGTGAGTAAATATCGCACTTTACTCACGTTTTAGGGTGTCACTGGGAATGCATTTTGTTTTACTCAGAAATTTGAGTAAAATTTTACTCATTGTTTTGCGTAAAACCTGCAGTTTACTCACTGTGAGTAAAAATCGCATTTTACTCACGTTTTAGATGTCACTGTGAATGCATTTTGTTTTACTCAGAAATTTGAGTTATTTTTACTCAAACTTTGTGTGTCACTGTGAATGCATTTTTTTACTCAAATATTTGAGTTGATTTTACGCAAGGATTTTTTGCAGTGTATATGAATATACACCCAATTATCGCATCTAGTTACGGCCCTGGATGTTTTCACATGGGTTTGTTCATGAACAGGTGCAGTTCTACACAAAATGCGCAGTTCTAAATCGGTCCATAATACAAATGTGAAGTTACGAAAATATACTATAAAATATGATTGACGTTTTCCTTGTGAATGCTGCAGAAATTGCCAGAAATGCAGTCATCAAGCATAAAAAATATCAACATTTTCTGGGGGACGTCCTGGGACGACCCGGATCCCAATAATTAATTTGGTTATAAACTGTACTGGGACGATCAAACAGTGGTAAAAGCGTGGCAACCGAAGTTCCTGAAAGAGATTATATGGAAGAACTCCAACAACCAACCTTCCTGCATCCCCACAGCCCCTTTCTTAAAAACACCAAAAAGCACAGGTTGTATTTTTTCCATCCGGGGCCAGTGTGAACAGGTTGTGTTTTGTATACCATCAGGTTTCTTGTTGGTTCAGAGAAATAGACCATGCAAGGATTCATAATAAATTATCCATTTTTTACATCCTTGCATTTATTTTTAAATTTTATGCGCCATTTTGGCATTCTATAATCATGATACAGGTGTATGCTAATTTTACCATACAATATAACTATGAAAAATAATGGTTTTGCATGTCTCTTGGTTGCAAAATGTAAATTTAACTTTAAAAAGTTTTAACCAACTGTGCATGCAGGTATACATTAATGAATTTCCTAATTCAATGTAAATTTTTACTGATCTATTTTGATTATTTCTATCAATGATATGAGCGGGAAAATAAACTTTGTGAGTCATTTTACCGTATATGTTTTCTCTCGTATATACCGTATTGTCAATTTTTAATCAATGAATAAAATCGTAAACTTATTTTATTATTACCTTTTCATTTGGATCTTTCGTAAACCACATCCTGATAACTCTAAGGACACAATCCTGTATTTGATCAACAATACCGTCAGCTATGGCAATTTCAAGACTTGTTTCTGGAAGAAACCCTGTTTGATTGGAAAAATAGATCTAATACAAAATAATCAAATTTAATACCATAAATTACCTAATAAGTAACCACTCCGAATTCTGATTAAAGCTCCGTATTCAATAGATGCACAAGTCAAAACATAATTTATAATGAGCGTTTATTTATAGATTAAATTAAAGCATTTATTGGTATTGACTGAGGAAAGCGGCGTACAAGGCAATTTTGCGCAAAACAATATATTCATCAGAAACAAAGTTTAATCACACAGAGTCAAAATATGGACTGTCTTGCACAAGCTATCAAAGTTTCAAGAAATTTCGTGGACGCGTAGGCCAAATAGCGAGATCTTCAAAACTTGGATTTTCTCCCATTTTGTTAGTTCAAACGCGATTTCTTTGCATGATTTCATATTGATTTTATGCATGCTCGGATGTTCGCATAAATTACAGCACGAAATTCGCAAGCCAATTCCTGAAGGTGCTTTCACAAAATTATTTACAAACAGTATTTATTTACAAACAAAATCAATCTTCAACGTAGGAGAGCACGTTATTAAAGATTGATTTTATTTGTAAATAAACACTACATGTTAATAATTTTGTAAATAAACGCTGTTAATAACTTTAGGACCTTTGGGAATTGGCTTTTGAATTTCGTACTGTAATTAATGCAAACGTCCGAGCATGCATAAAATTAATTTGAAATCATGCAAAGAAATCGCGTTTGAACTAACAAAATGGGAGAAAATCCAGGTTTTGAAGATCTCGCGTTGGACTACGCGTGCACCAAATTTCTTGAAACTTTGATAGCTTGTGCAAGACAGTCCATATTTTGACTCTGTGTGATTAAATTTTGTTTCTGATGAAAAAATTTTTTGCGCAAGGCCTTTTTTGTGGGCTTTTTAGTAACAGCTTTCCTACTCTAAAAGCGCTAGCATTTTAAATAATTTAGTAGTGCTAGATGTACCATGCAGAGAGCGTTAAAGTGCATAGGCTTACTGAACGTTTTCGCAAATGTCTCGCGCATCTGACTTTAGTGAACTTTTTCCAACTGTGTATAGCTTTTATACACCCTGTATATTGGTTGCGGCTTTTGGGTACCATAAAACTGTGTTGTGATCTGAGCTTCCTATCAGGGCAGTTGCGCTTGGTTTATTAGGGACCTTAAGATCTAGGACGGCAACGTGACGACAACGAAATGAACCAGAGTTTTTACGTTCTGTGTACAACCTTTGCATTTTAGTACATAACTTGGCGGATACTCAGCAAATTGGTCCAGTATACTAATGTGGAACTCTACTCAATAAAAAGCCTCTGTTTTGATCTCTCCAAGCTGTGTTAAATTCATACGATAAGATTTCATTACAATAATATATTTGGGTGAATTTGTTTTGGGCCTTTTGGCCGTTGTCGTCGCTTTGCCGTCCTACATCTTAAGGTCCCTATTGTACCATGATGGCATGTTAGCGAGAACGTTGGCAAAGACGGGACAACGGCTGACTCAGTTAAAACTCAGAATTTTAACAACATTTTTTAGAGGACAAGTGGTTTGCATTTTGATCTCCACTTATTTATTTAACTTGCGAAATAAATCATCCTACATATACTAACCGTACTCTCTGGCCAGATATCGCAGGATGGCCATACTCTGTGCCAGAACAACATCATCAAACTCAAGGATTGGCAACTGACCATAAGGACAGATACCCTCTATAAATTAAGATCAGATATCAGTTAAATGTTATTGTACATGTTCGGCAGCTTTCGGCCAACTTACTATATAAGGCCCACATACAAATCTGGCGCAAATCCCCCGTCGCAGCGGTCCAAATCCCCATTCCCCAGTGAAAAATAGGCAAATCGCAGCTCCCATTTGACCCGATCACGTCCCTCGGCCTCCGCAATCTTCTAAGTTCAGTATAGAGGCCCGGAGTGATTGGATTAAACCTAAGATTTGAGTTGAAACTCACATTACAATTCCTGTCAGGATTTAGGAACTCCGCAAACAAACTTTCGGCTCATAAGAAAAGAAGTGGTCCATATAAACCTGGTAACTAACCGTCCAAAACACCGAAACCATAGAATAAAGATCCATATAGAAGGGCCACTTACGTCGGAAGCTTTGAAGTTTCTGTCCTCGCGCATGTCGCATTACGCATGTTGGCCGCCATTTTCCTAGCCAGTCAATGACATTTTCTGGCCAATAAACGCG